GTTACAGGACCTGTTGCCAAGGATACAGCAAGTAAACTTAATGAAGAAAATCTCTCTGGCCGAGTGGATGAATGTCGACAAAGAGATACCTGTTATTTATCACCATACTGATTCTGAAATTATAGACAATGTTCTGAATACTGATTAAAACAACGAAAGGACGAAAATGACAGTGATAAATATGAAACTGATGTAGCTGAAAGACTTACTATTAACAAGTTAATCGTGACAGAACAAGAGATAATGAATTTTTTTGCGTGAAAAGTTATACAAGGAAAGGTCAAAACACATGAAACAAATTCGCCTGGATGAAATGTTTAAAAATATAGCCAAGAAAAATGTTTATGAGAGCAGTACATCTGAAAATCCTGTGGTTTCAACTTCAAGTACCCAGGATGTCCCACCTGCAGCATCAAAATCCATGTTGAAGCAACCAACTATGTAACGGACAATAATCCTGACAGCCCTCATCTTCCAGACCTTAGTAATTAACTCTACAGTTCTAGGAAATTCCTATCATTTGCCACTTTGAGAATGGTACTATAGCAACATTCCTAGCAAGAACAGTAATTAATAAGCACGTTTCATTTATGCCTTTATTGTTGAATTATTATTACGTGACCTCTTTTGGTCCGGCAAAATTAGTAATTCAGCAAGGCTTTGGAACCAAGGGTACCGGAAAATCATTGGTGTACCTGTACCAAATAGGAAGACCAACCCCAAATTCTAAAATAATATCTAAATACATTTTTGAATGCAATTTTTTGTTGTATATTTTACGGAAATACAACATTGCCGACCTTTTGAGGCAAACCGTAGATATAAAATCCTTTATAAATTTCTGACACGAATGGGTTGGGGGACACCTCAATGGTTACCAGTGAATATAGCTGCGAAGAGCCCACGTATAAAGTAAGATGTCAGTCTTGACTATCAAACCAGTTTAAATACACCAGGTGCCTCATCAGAACACATTTCACTAATTTCCATTTCCCATGCATGCTATAAATTGTAGAATCTTATAGACGTGGTATTTAAAGTTCAGTTAAAATCAAACAAATCAACCTTCACAGTCGGAAAGAAAATTACACACGCGAATTCATAATTGTTAAACACTTCCGCAGCCTCTCACTTTAAAAAAGAATTAAGATAGCACCAAAATCTTGTCCCTATTCATTAGACTTAGAACGCCCATCTAGTCAAAAGGAACCCAGCCATTATTTATATATAATGAATATTAAAACACTGTCTCATCAAATCCCAGTTCCATTTCTTGCTGTCATTTGATTACTAGCTGTCAAGTTATCCAGCTACAAATTGTTGAAAATAGTCTATATAAATCTCACTTCCCGATTTGAAGGAGTTCCCGTTTCTTTCTTGCATTTAAAGCCGTATTGATTAAGGGGTTTCAAGTTGCGCTGCACCAGATTTCTTTTTCGAACTTTGTGTAAAGTATCCTGGGATCCCTGGTTAAATTGATTTTTGTCGTTAAAAAGATGGTCAGAAGCTGGTTCACACCACAAACCTATCATTCAGGCTTCATTGAACTGCTCCTATATATGATTCGTGTTATATGATATGGGCTTGTTTAAAAAATGCAATATACTGGTGTGAATAGTGGCACATCTACCTGTAAGTAGATGTGAATAATATGTTGATAATACTATACAATGGCATGTAGATTAATTTAGTTGTGTAAAATGTTTTCAAGACTTTTTAGCTCACATGGATGATCGTCATGTGAACTTACATCATGACACTGCATCCGTCGTGTGTCGTGCGCAGCAGAGTGTTGCATATCGTGCGTACATCACTAAATGCTGTGTTTTTTTTAAAAAAATAAAACAAATTCTTCCAAAGACCATTGGACCAAAAAGAAAGAAAAACTTTAAAAAACGTATAAAAAATCGCTGAACAAAATTGGACAAAACTGGACAAAAGACATCGCCGCAGAGACGTGTTTCAAATTTGTACAACTGATTTATTCTACCATCAAATATGGTCACTGCTACTAAGAATAAAAATAACTTTAAGTGTCTTTTAAACGATTTAATCAAATATGACAGAAGGCATCCTGGCATGAAGACACTTCATGAAATTTCATGTTTTTGCTATAAAGTGAAAAACATTTTTATGTCTCTCTCTCTCTCTCTCTCTCTCTCTCTCTCTCTCTCTCTCTCTCTCTCTCTCTCTCTCTCTCTCTCTCTCTCTCTCTCTCTCTCTCTCTCTCTCTCTCTCTCTCTCTCTCTCTCTCTCTCTCTCTCTCTCTAATTCAGTTCCAATAGTAAGCATGTGCAAACAATGATATTGAAAATTCATTAACTTAAAATTTATTAGTGCCCATGATCAAACCTTAATTTATCAGTATAGATGAAACCTGGATGTCAGCTTCTGTGTAGAGGAAATGATATTAGCCGCAGCACTTTTTGGACCTGCATGTATTTGAAACATGTGCTTTCAATTCCGCACCAATGAGTCACGTGGTAATTAGTGTCTTAAGCTCAAGACTGTTAAAGGACTGAAATTCCATCAATAAAACAATGTCTCTATTTTTTCACTTACAGCTAGGATAAGCTCTCAAACATTCTACACAATCGAAGTCAGTACCTGTTATTACAGACATCGGATACCTTGGATAATTATTTTATAAGTGATTTTCTTCTAAATTCAAACGTGGAGTCTCCTGTATTTGTTTTCTCTTGCAGAAAAGAGTAGACCGACTAAAAATTTGCGCTGGGACATATTAAAACCCAAGAATTTTTGTTTGGAAACTACGCTCCCTTATCTAGCGTAAGCACTTAGGATTAAATACATCTACCGCTGTTATATCGCCAAAAAGTGCGTTCCGTTTGACCTCCAGATTGCCAAATAACTTCTGGAAAATCTCACACTGACATTTTTGGATACAAATAATGAAGTTAACCTTCTACTTCCAGTCTGTCTGATTGTGAAATAAACGACGCTTAATTAAAAATCATTTCTCTCCTGACACCCACATTTCAAATCTGTGCATTATGATGATTTAACACGCCATGGTCCCAATAAAGCTAATTAATCGTTCAGCTGCCCAAATTAATGTGCTCGGACACACTCGCAGGGACGTAAGGACTTCATTCACTCGGTCAATACACAGCATCCCGGAGCATATCTTAACTCCGTTCAAAGGTTATATATGAATAATTGTATGTGATATAAATAAGATACGTGTATGGTATGTACGCTGTATCATTGATAAACCACTAGTTGTATAAATTTTTCATTAAAAGGGAAGATATTCATTATTAATCTACAATTAAGCACTAATGGAAACTGATAATCGACCAGGAAATTGTATCAGATTCTCAACGTCAGAGAAAAAATGCATCTCCTTCCAACAACAGAAAAAAACCTATTTAATATAAAGCACCAATGTAGTGGAAATTAATGCGTGCCCCTATATACAGGCAAACCCTGATGGTGATTAAATCTACATATGCTTTTGTAACATGCATCGCATATGCAATGTAAGGAGGTCCTGAAAGGCTGTGTCTATGCAGGGGCTCGAGGAGAATCGGAAATGGGATGTTGGTGCGGTGTCGGCGACCCCACACCCTACCCTTATATAAAATAATGTGTTAAACAACAGGAACTTTTTTAGACAATTGTTCTTAAAATGGATGCAATCTGCCATCTGGGCCCGCATCATAGGTTCCATTGCATAGATTATTTGCCTACTCTTTACGCACCCTCTAGCCACCCCTAGCCTTATTCCTGGATCCGCTCCTGCTTTAATGGCTGCAAGACCCTTTCAGGATCGATACAGTATGCACAGACAATCTGGTTGCATATCGAGAATAAATAAAGCTCAATTCGCCAGTTTATTTAGCCACCCCATTTTAAAAACAATGTTACCTCCTTCAAATGCTAGGAAAGGACTTGAGAAGGTTTGGCCTTTGTTGAAAGTGTATTTGATTTTAAGGTCTCTAGTATCTCATAAACTTCCAGACAAGAGTATTCTTTTGAGCATGCTTTTTATATGATGAAGCTAAGCGCTAATACAAAGGTCGAGTATTAAGCTACAATATGTCCTTAGCTGAATCTGATACACGTGTTTTGTTGCGCGTCTGCGGAAAGAACGGAGGGATACATGGATGTCATCAAAACGAGATGTAATCATATACCATATCTAACAAAATATTTCCGTCATCTTGAAACAATGCACGTACGTATGCGGTTTTATATTTATTGCACACGCTGGTTTCATTATTAGCTTTTTTAATTAGTTTTATCTGTACAGTTTAAATAAATTTCAAAGCGAATTGGGATTTATAAAGTTGTATTCGTATTTATGTCTATGTGGACACTGATATAAAAATTCATCGACATTGACCTAATTAACTGACAGCAACCATTGATTTTGCAATGGATGTTAAATACACATCGACACAGACCTAGAGATTCATTGACACCGACTTAAAGATTCATCACTGGATGCAAATCTATATCGAGAACGACTTAAAGATTCAACACTGGATATAAGTCTTATCGACACCGACCAAAAGATTCATCAGTTGATGTCGATCACCGACCTAAAGAATCATCATTGAAACAGATCTATAAATTTATCATTTGATGTATCGATACCGAACTAAAGAACTAAGTCTATATCGATCCGAACTAAAGATTCATCGATCAGACCTAAAGATTCGTCAATGGATTCAAGTCTATATCAAACATCGACCTAAAGAGTCAACACTGGATGTAAGTCTATATATTGACACCACCTAAAGATGTGCTTGTGTGCGTGTGCGTGTGCGTGTGCGTGTGTCTTTGGTCATATCGCTATGATGTCTGCACTGTGGAAGTTTATAGTGATGTCAAGTTCTAGGGCATCATGCCGCAGACATGTGGCATCATATCCCACCCAGTCACATTATCCTTCATCAGTCATAACACCAACATCTTGATGCTGAAAACCAAGCGAAGTAGCTGTTACTAACCATTTTTTTAAGTCTTTGGTATGACTCAGCAGGGTTTCGAACCCACGACTCTCGCATCCCAGGCCGATGCTCTAACCACTTGAGCCACCAGAACGGTCACCTAAAGATTAATAACTAGACTTAAGCCATTGCAGCTTAATGCTTAGTATTTTTCACCTGCCTATGACAAAACATGCTTGCTAAACAAAAATCACCCCCTCCCAAAAAAAAAATATTGGGGTAACTTTTCAAAACTGAATTTTCTTAATCCAGAGTTTAAGTTTTAACGGCTACGAATAGGCACAGGACGAACCACCAATGCTGCACCCGGGTACATTCTGCCGTCAAACAGAACAACTTGAATCTACTGAACATAACAGCTGGAGAGTTGAGATCAAGTTAAAGAAAGATGGTATTAGAGAAAGTGTATAGTTTGATTGTGCAGAACAGAATTTAGGTAAGGTGGTGCAAATAGAGGAGGGTTAACATACCATCTTGAATATCGGAACACGTGCATCCATCAACTAACTGCTGCATGATGAAGCAGAAAATCAGGGTCTGTGCAATGCATACTTAAGATATCTCGCAAAATAAGAAAAAGTGTAGGTTTTTTTAACCATTTCGCATATTAACTTACTCAGTTTCATTCTCACAGAATGATCACTTTTGTTTAGATATATTATTTTTGTATTGATATTTTGTTCTTTTGATAAGATGAATCATCAGCCAGGAATGAAGTGCGTATATTCCACTTACTGATTTAAGTGAACTGAATATAAATAAAGTGAATCTAAAGGCACAGCTTATTTACATTTCACTTTGATCAATAAAACTAGATGACGTTTAAAAAACGAGACTTGTCAGATTCAGTTCAACTCAGACAGAACATTTTGTCTAATCCGAATCTGGTTCTCTGAAAATGCCACAGGTATGAATTGTTTTTCTCAGTATTTCAAGGGACTCCGTCTGTTACTCTGAAAGTGTCGTAGGCGTGTATTGTTTTACTCAGTATTTTAAAGGAATAGAGCCGACATTGATCTGCAATATGTGAAAGCAGATCTTGCTAAGAAGTGCTCACACAAAGGTCCACGATATGCCACAACAGAGTAGTCTAACTTGCTGGTCAGTTAGAAGGAATATCAAATTAACTGACCATTGGGATGCAATAGAGAAGATGGTCACTTTGTATCCAGAAGAAGTCCGAGATATATTTAACGTCGTTTTCAAGCCGTTCCCTTACTGACAACCACCCACTCATTACAACGTGTCAACACGTGTCCTTTCTAACTCTTTTCTTCTTACACATCAAAAACACAATATGCAAGTTCTATCGTAGGAATATATGCTATTTTTTAAACAAAATATTGACCTGAAAAATCAGCCAAAAACACTCAAGCAATATAAATGTTAAGTTTTTGGATAGACACGAGTATTATTATGTAATAAAGCAACAGTGAGTACGATACAGACACCCAAAAATGACAAGTCTTACCCTTCAATGCAGCAATACTTTAACAAGGAGTTTAAATTCTTCCCTGGGATCTGCATGCATATGCTGCAGTTGTGGAGTTGCATTCCAGAACAATACACCATTCTTTAATCAAATATTTTGCTTTCACTAAGCCATTTCTGTTTTAAAAACAATAATCTCTAAATTACAGCTTTAGTATTAGAAACGCGTTTAGTCAGTTTAGGCCCACGTGGCAGATTAATGTGAAACAGCTTTTAACTGTGCTTAGAATCACAAGGGAGATTGTTGTAACTCTGTGCTGCCTTCAGGATGTGTGTGTGTGTGTGTTTGTGTGTGTGTGTGTTTTATTTTGTGACAACATTAAATAGTCAAAGAAAGTAATAGGGATGTGAGGAAGGATGGAGTGGAGGTAATTTGGATTGATTGTTAAGGTAGCTTTAATAATTTTTAAGTCCTATTGCTACAATATCTGCAGTGTGGTATTTTGTAGTGATGCATAGCACTGGAGAATCATACCGAAGACATGTAGCATGATGTCCCACCTAGTCACATTATCCTGACACCAGGCTGACCAGTCCTATCACTAGCCTCTTAATTCTGAGCGCCTAGCGAAGTAGCTATATGTACCATTTTATATGTCTTTGGTATGGCCTTGCGCGGGTTAGAACCCGCTACCTCCCGCATCCGAGACGTGCGCTCTGACCACTAGGCCACCGGAGCAGTCTATGTGACTGTGGGGGGATTCAAATTGTGTTAGTCCAAAGTGCAAATTAAACAGATTTGTTTTCCGATGCAAATTATCTGCACTTTAATTCAGGAGATTCTTGGGTTTTCAATTCAGGAGATTTGGGTTTCCAATGCAGGAGGTTGCGTTTTCAGTGTTAGAGATTTTCACTACAGTGCAGAAGTTTGCACTGTAATGCAATGCAGGAGATGTATGTTTGCAGTGCAAGAGGTTGGGTTTTCGGTGCTGGGGGTTGTACTTGGATGTTTGAGATCTATTATCGACATATTTTGTATCACAATTTTGCTCACCTAAATTTTATGTCTGTTCGCATTTTTTTAAGTATTAGTAAAGAATGATAAATATGAAATAATTTTTTTTGATGATGTCTTTAGTTTCTTATGAAACAATTATGAACACTTGTCAGATATGGAGAAAAATCTTTAATAATGAAATTTCGCATGCTTCTATAACAATACGTGCAAAATAAATATCAGCACGACCTGTACAATTGATCACACTCTATTCCCTACATTTAGGTGGCAAGGGGCAGTTTCATATATTGGCCCCTGGAAAATTTCTTAACTTAAGGGTATAGTGTGAGCTATTATTGTGAAATTATTAAAGATATGGACATATTTGTAAATTTGGTTTTCCGGCTTGTGCTGTTCTTGAAACTGATGTGAGGCATGTACACCTCATGTAGTCATTGCAAAGTATATTGCCAGTGAAATACCCATAGTCGAATAGGAAGTAGAAATAAGTACTTACAACAGTACACACGTTGGTTCAAGGCAAGTAGAACATCTCAAAATTTGGATGACGACTACTTTGAATAGCATCAAACTATTAAGTACATATTATTTATCAAAATTATCACCCAGGGAAAGGGCTTGTGATTGCACTATGAACATCACGTGTTCTCAAAAGTGGCATTCGGACATGAAAAATTAATGTATAAATTTAGGGGTGCGCGTGCATTAACTTTTTATTCTATGAATTTCCATTAACTTGTCAGATCAAGTGAATGATATTCTTATGTGTTATTTTATTATTACCTATAAAAGTATGGACCTTTTTGAGGTATGTATGCAACAATAAATTTGTGACATAAAAACTGTCACCTGCCTCCTTACTGATAATGTAAATTACAGCCCGCATTACCACCTTTGATTTATGCTTAGTTTGCAGTTTATGTGACGCCATTTCAAACAAATAATCGTGTGTGTGTGTGTGTGTGTGTGTGTGTGTGTGTGTGTGTGTGTGTGTGTGTGTGTGTCATTAGTCTTCAGATTTTCGTGAATGTAATTGCTGTATTATATACAATTACATTTACATATAGAAATAACTACATATAGAAATAACTATAAAATGAAAGAGATGATTGAGTTAAATTAAAAATGGTAGAGTACGTCTATATAATTTCAAAACATTGATGTGAAACAACGAGCCGAGCTAATTAGCTACGTAAAAATAGAGACTGGTTTCTCGTCATTTTGTCTACGGTAGTTGTCACAGACAAACCAGTGTTCAAGGTGTCATAAATGTAACAAACAGTACCGCACGTTTCCAAAACTTATTTTGGGTTTACAAAAACGAAAATTTTACGAAAACTTGTTAAATATTTGGATGCCGGTCAGTAATAGAAAGAAAAATAATAGTAATTTCACTTGATTTAATGAATGTGCACATACTATACTGCAGAATTCTACATGACTCCGTGCATTATCAGTTAATATACTGTATGCGCATTGTTCTATACAAATGTAAAGATATCTGTGCTATAAAGGCTTTGCCTTCGTTTTTGGTTTTCGGTTTGAGTCAGGTGTGTGTGTGTGTGTGTGTGTGTGTGTGTGTGTGTGTGTGCGTGTGTGTGTGATTTTGTATTATATTTGCAACAAAATAAGATTTTTATTAAAATGTCAGTTGTATTTTTTCCAGTTTTTTTCTGTATGTGATTCAACATCTTTTTGAATGTATTTTTTGAGAATTGTAAATAACATCTACCAAAATAATAAATTCACAACTACTATTACAACTTTGTTACCTTACGTTTCTTTTTGTAAGAATATGAAAGAACAGAAAAGGTTTCACGCAGTTTTGCTGCAGTTTTGTTTTGTGCAGTATAAAGTCACCGTAACCTTGTTTTATTTTAAATTTGTAAAGGACGAAAGGTTGATAAATATGGATATAAAGAATAAATTTGCGCCACTAGAAAGAGTAAAATATGCTATGCGAATACAGAAGATTCTGAAGTTTCAATCAAGGTTACTAAAAGCTATAAAATCGCAAATTCTTAAAAGCGTTGGGTAAAGATTTGGACACAGTTTAGTCATATATTACGGGAGCAAACGAGACAGAAAGAATGAATATGATGAAATTGAAGAAAGAGCCGGTGTGGTTGAAAAAAAAAATTGAAAATAAGTTCTCATGTTTGAAAGGGTGTGCACAAACATTCATTTTTAATATTTGGTTGAAAATATTTAAAAGAGTAAAATTATGAACGGCAAATATCAGATAGAAAATGGCAAAATGTCATTAGAAGATACTTGGTGACATAAACGGGAAGGGGGGGGGTAGTGGAGAAGGTACTGCGAAGGAATATGCCATCGCAAATGAGGTAACTTTATTTTGCGATAAATATATATCCCCCCCCACACAACAAAAGCAGCGATTTCTATAATTCATTGAAGTGCGCAACATTTCATAGATTTTCATTAATTTGTTGTAAAGGAAAATTATATGGACTAAAAATGATTATTACTTAACCAAAGGTCCCTGTGCATTTCTATGCAGTAAAGCAATCTGTTTTCTTCTTCAGATCAAAACTACAAACAATAACACTTCGAAAATAAACTAGTTTTTTTTAGATGTAAACGATTTTGTTCTGGTGTTTTCTGCCTATCATCAATGTTCTTTCATTA